AAGTAGTACTAGGTACTATAAGTTACTTAGAATTTCTATTTTATATATAAGTTTACTCTACCTAAAGTAGTACTAGGTACTATAAGTTTCTTAGAATTTTTATTTTATAAGTAAGTCTACTCTACTTAGAGTAGAGTACTATAAGTTACTTAGAATTTCTATTTCTTAAGGTAGGCTACTCTACTTAGAAAAGAGTCTTATAAGTTACTTAGAATTTCTATTTTATAAGTAAGTCTATTTTTTCTAAAGTAGAGTACTATAAGTTACTAAGAATTTCTATTTCTTAAAAAAGGCTACTTTCTATAGAGAATAAAGTTATATACTACTTTATATATTCTAAATATAGTATAGTAGTTATTTATCCTTCCTATAATAACCTAGTTTAATTATAGGTAAAAGTAGTAGTAGAATAATTTACTAAAAGTCTTATATAACTTATTTACTTAGAGCTAACTAGCTTATATATACTATTATATATAAGTAAATAGGTATTACTTCCTAACTATTATTACCTCTAATTAGATAGAAAATATTAGTATTATTTATTATTACTTCTAACTATCTATTATTACTTTTAATTATCTATTATTACTTCTAACTATTTATTATTACTTCTAATTATCTATTATTACTTTTAATTATCTATTATTACTTCTAATTATCTTTTATTACTTCTAATTATCTATTATTACTTTTAATTATCTATTATTACTTCTAATTATCTATTATTGCTTTTAACTATCTATTATTACTTTTAACTATCTATTATTATCTCTAACTAAAGAAGGTATTTTAACTACTACTACGCTATTAAATAGTTTACTTACTCTTACTTCTAGGCTTTCTCTAGAAACTATATTTACTTCTCTATTTTAATAAGTAGTTTTTATCTAAATATCTCCTCTTTTCTATTTTTAAATATATAATTTATCTTATATAATATTGTAGTAGAGCAATATAGGAAGTATATCTAAAGGAATATCGGAGTAAGATTATGTAACGCAGGTTATGTAATCTAGGATTAGTATATAGTAATTAAGCCTCTAATAGGAGCTTAGTAGAGTATTAACTAATAATACACTTATCCTATCTAGTATTAAGCTACACGTGCCTAAAGAGGCGTTAAAGACTTCTCCTTTATATATAGTAACCTACGCAGGGATTAAAGAAGCTTTCTATTTATAGCTATTTGGGTACAATACTAAATTATTCTTATAATATGTTTATTTAGAGAGTAATTAATTTTTAGTAATAATAATAGGACTTTAGTAAGTCTAAGTTAAGGATTAAGAGACTAATATAAGATAGGTATAATACTAAATTGTATTTAGTACCTAAGAATTAGTACTTTAAGAACTTAATAAGGTATTAGTATACCTCTAGGAAATTTAGTAACCTTATAACTAGGGATTATACTAGACCTAGAAAACTAAAGAGTTACCCCTAAAGAAGCTATTAACACAATAGCTAGTATACTAGTTACGCTTAGATAACTCTTAGAGATTATCTTACTACTATAAAACTTATGCAATTAGTGTATAACCTATAGTTATACTTAAGTACTCTTTAGTAATAAGAATTAGCTAAAGAATAATTAAAAAAAAGAGATTAAGAGTAGTAAGTACTACTAGGTACAGACAAAAAGAAGAAGAATAAATAAGGCAAGAAGCTTACTAACAAAGAATAGATATATAACAGTAATAATAACTTTCCTTATAATCTTTTCTACTACAAAGACCTTTTAGAGATCTTTACTTCTTCTTCCTATAGTAGTTAAGATAGTTCTTACTGCTTACTTATTACTT